TTCAAGAGAATAATAGGATGAAGAGAGGAAATAAGAAAAATTCATAATTCATATTCTGTACGAACTTTTCGAATTTATGAACAATTTTCAATTTCAACTTCCTATAAAAGATGAATTTAATTTTAACACTCACTTTCACTTGACTTTATCATTTCCACGGCACTTTTCCACATTTGGAATAATATCTCAGTTCTGATGATGAAAGGCGTTTAAAATTATCTAATTTACAAATTTTATCAAAGAATTAATCGAATCCTCAAATGTTTTTAAAATCGAATAGGTCGTTCACTTTATATCACATTCGCTTATTATTTTCCATTATGTAGTAGAAGAGACTTGTGCATTTAAGGAATTTCAATTTAAATTTCTTTCTTCCTAAAATGGCAGTCAAAGAGAATGTTAATACCACTGTTGTAATTAATTACAGTTGGTTTGTTATGTTATTCCTTTAACTCCATTTTTAAATTCGTCAAATTTTGCTCATAAAACTGCATACTGGCATTGAAATTACAATGAGTAAATTGTAAAAAGTCTTGCATTTTAAGAGATTAAATTAAAAATTTAAGTCACTTGAACTGATAAAATTAAACAATCTTATCTGATGTCATTAAATTTTTATCGAAATTCACTCTTCATATTAATTTCATTTTCCTGACATAATTTGATCCTGCAAGAAGCGTTCTTTTTTTTTTTTTTCGAATTTTCAATATATTTTAAACACATTGGAGTGATGATTACTCCACAAGATTTTTTGTTTGGGAATAGCAACTTTAAATACAGGAATACCATCCTCTATTAGTAAATTTCATTTTATGAGAAAGCTTCATGAGAATCAAGTACAAATTCTTAATTAGTATAGAAATAACTGAGTTTTATTTGAAATTGAATTCATTAGTGACCAAGAAAATTCCTTTGTATTTAATTCAATTTTAGTGGAGAAATCGATGTTTTGAGATGAGCGCTTGGTATTATATGTTTGTTTTCATATGGATCTTATTAAGATAATAAAAAATGATAACTCCATGTTTTGACAATTTGTCATTATCTTCTTATCTACACAATCGACAAGCTCGTCATTCAATTTTAAATTTGAATTCCGCATTTGCACATAAGTTGTAATTTTTTTTAAAAATTTTATTTAATTGTTGAAGATTACAGCAAGTGACTAACTTCTCTATGCTTACTTTATGTACTTTCTAACTCTTTAATATAATTTTTTCGGGATGACAAATCATGAGATTGTTTGTGGCCGTTCTGGTTCCAGCTTATATTTTTTAAATACATTCATTGTTTCTACTGCAGATAAATAGTGAGGCATAATGATTTGCAAGTTGAAATCTGCTCCATTGTTAAGATTAGACAGAAATCTGAAGAAAAGACAAAAAGAGTCTTCCTAAATTAAAAAATTGACCAAAGCAAAAAGCTACATAAAAATTTCTTATGGAATTAAGTAGATAAAAATTAACAAAAGACCAAACAAAAAAATCAAATTTTATTGCACTAACATTTGCCTTAACTAAAATAGCATAGTTAGATTTCTTTATGACATTAGAGGTAGCATAAAACATAGGTTTGCATATCACAAATCTAACAAAAAATCTTTTGACTTTTTCGACTTATTGTCATTTTGCATAAAAAATTGAAATTCCATGATGTATCCGAGAAATAAGCGAGAGTAATGAAATATTCACGCCCATGTATTAATCAATAGATTAGCGTCATGTTATTAGACATAACGACGGAAACACGTGTGCCAGGCCTGCTAATCGAGCATTATGTGGATTATTGACATTCTTTACCATCATCCCAATAATTGCTTCATCAGAGATATATGTGTAGGAATGGAGAAATTCTGTAACGCTAAAAGTTATTAATAAATATGGCAGGTAGATTGATAAGTGTCTCTCTGCTAATCTAATGCTTAATTAGTTGCATGGAATGACAGAACCTATGTCTCTAAATTTGTGAACGATTGTTTTCAGCTTATTCAATGTGAGAAAAATCTCGTGCAGCTCTTACCCTATGCATGCGATTCTTTATTAATTCAGAATTTTTTATGACTCTATCCCTGTGAAATGAAAGGACGTGTCAACCTCGACTGGTACAAAAAGTACTTTCATTTATAAGCATACAACAAATTAGCCAGTTACAAACTCATCTGTTCTTCCTCATCATTGTGAAAACGATGACTCAATACACAATGAACAAGGGGAGAGAAACCTTCTAGTCGGCTAATCACCAATTGCCGGGTGATATATGCATTCTTGAATATTACTTTATTAGAATTTTTTTCGAAATATTTCTAGTAAATTTCTTCATTTTGTATGCATTTCAAATGCTGAAAGCTGTGCAAAAAAACTGTGGTTGTACAATGAGGATTTGCTCACATAAGATAAATGTTTCTATTATATTCTCATATTTTCAAAAAAAAAAAAAAAAAAAAAAACTGAAAATAAATAATTGAACATACTCCCGCTGAATCAACTTTATCTGCATATTCCCATGTTTTTTCCTATTGTGGTCACGTAGAAATAGATACTATACTTGCGTAAAATATCACTGGAAAAAAAATGAATTTGTTACTAATAATAACAATATGCATCAAACAGTATTCATTTCTTTGATAATTATAATCAAAAACATATCGTAAGATGAATGTCAATCAGTTCATTATTTCAGCGATTTCACCGAAATCTATTTTACTAATAGTAAATGAAGAAATAAAATAAAAACTTCCTTAATAAGGATCATTTATTGAACACATAAAAATAACAACTTATATTCGTTACAAAGCATAAAAATATACTCTCAGTTGATCATTTGGCTATTTTCAGTTAATCATTTGGCTTGAAATCTTATTGAAGATTTAAAAATTCTCCTCAGATATATTATATACAATGTGTAAATGTGGGATGAAATTTTACGTCATTTCAAATTCTACTATTTGTCAAACAATAGTAAACAAATGTCGCATTGAAACAGACACAATATGATGTTTGTACTAGAATATTTCCGGAACAATTAATCGCAATGCATTCAATTTGTGAGGATTAATTCATGGATTATTTTATGTGCATTTGCATATTTTATTGATGACTAATATCATTTATACGAACCAGAAGAGAGTTCTTTTGGGTAGATAGTTTATCATGGCCATGACAAATATGACTAACTGGTTGAAATATTGGCTCTAAATTATGAGATTTGTTTGTCACTTCATCGTGCTTGAATTTCTATCCAGTGTTGTGATTACTTTTCTACTGTTGTTACACATATCATATATAACACTTAATGTTGCCCACTAACCCACGTGGGTCTCACGAATTACACTTCACGTAATCATCGATTCCGTTCAGCACCTGTTTATTTCGTCGAAATTTGTTCCTATTCTAGACTGATCGATATTTGTGTGGTTGTGTTCTTCTACCTGCAAAGCGGGAAGTAAGTCATAGAAGGTTCGGGATTTTTGATCTGATCAGTTTCTGATATCGGTCACTGTTTTTGCTTCCAGTATTGCAAACATGCTCCCCTGGAGAACGGTGAGCTGAATTTTCCGCTCCCTTCTCCTCCTCCCCTTCCCTCCCCCTCTCCTCTCCTCTCCCACTTCTCCCTCCTTTCTCTCTCTCCTCTTTCTCCCCTCCCTCCTCTCCTCCTCCTCCCTCTTCTTCCCTCTTCTCCTCCCTGTCCTCTCCATCTCTCCTCTCTCCCTCTTTCTCCCTCCTCCTCTTTCGCTCCTTCTCTTTCCTCTCCTCCCTCCCCCTTCTCCTCTCTCTCCTGCCCTCCCTACCTTTCCCCCCTCCCTCTTCTCCTCCCCATCTCTCCCTCTCCCTCTTTCTCTCTCCTCTTCTCTAACTCCCTCCCTTCTCTTCCCCTCCTCTCCTCCCTCCCCCTTCTTCTCTCTCCCTCTTTCTCTCTCCTCTTCTCTAACTCCCTCCTTTTTCTTCTCCTCCTCTCCTCCCTCCCCCTCCTCCTCTCTCTCCTGTTCTCTCCATCTCTCCTTTCTCCCTCTTCTTCTCTCACTCGTGTTCTCTCCATCTCTCCCTTCTCCCTCTTTCTCTCTCCTCCTCTCTAACTCCCTCCTTCTCTTCCTCTTCCCCTCCTCCCCTCTTTCTCCTCCTCTTCTCTCACTCCCTTCTCTTCCTCTTCCCCTCCTCTCCTCTCTCCCCTCTTTCCTCTCTCTCCTGCCCTCTCTCCCTTTTTCCCTCCCTCTCCCTCTTTCTCTCTCCTCCTCTCTAACTCCCTCCTTTCTCTTTCCCTCTTCTCCTCCCTCCCCCTTCTCCTCTCTCTCCTGCCCTCTCTACCTTCCCCCTCCCTCTTCTCCTCCCCATCTCTCCCTCTCCCTCTTTCCCTCTCCTCTTCTCTAACTCCCTCCTTTCTCTTCCCTTCCTCTCCTCCCTCCCCCTTCTTCTCTCTCCCTCTTTCTCCCTCCTCTTCTCTCGCTCCCTCTCTTTCCTCTCCTCCCTCCCCCTTCACCTCTCTCTCCTGTTCTCTCCATCTCCCTCCTTTCCCTCTTTCTCCCTCCTCTTCTCTCACTCCCTTCTCTTCCTCCTCCCCTCCTCTCCTCTCTCTCTTGCCCTCCCTACCTCTCCCTCTCCCTCTTTCTCTCTACTCTTCTCTAACTCCCTCCTTCTCTTCCTCTTCCCTCCCTCTCCTCTCTCTCCTGCTCTCTTCTCCTCTCTTCCTCCCTCTTCTTTCTCCCCTCTTTCTTCTTCCCTCTTCTTCTCCCTGTCCTCTCCATCTCTCCTCTCTCCCTCTTTCTCCCTCCTCTTCTCTAACTCCCTCCTTCCTCTTCCCCTCTCCCTCCTCTCCCCTCTTTCCTCTCTTTCATTCTTTCTCTACCTTTCCCCCTCTTTCTTCTCCCCTCTTCTCCCCTCTCCTCTCTCTCCTGTCCTCTCCATCTCAAAAAATGAGAATTTTACCATTGGAATTAGTTGCATTTGGACTATTTTCGTAGAATTAATTCGTAATGAATGTTTCTTTTATAAAAATTAAAATTAAAATCAAATGTTATTGAAAATGCCTAAGTGCTGTTTGCATAAGTTTTTTAAGCAATCATATTGCGACTGTTGATTGGTACCTTTTGGAATTGGAGGGGCAAATGCTGGAGATGATGGAGGAATTGGAAGTGGTGGCGAAGGTGCATATGAATGAGCTAGCGGAGATATAAGCGGCGGTAAAGGTGATGCTTGTTTGCTGTTGTTCATCCCCTATTTGTCGCCACTATTATTTGCTACTACAAAACATATAAAACTTCCAATACTACTTTTGTTTTCAAAAGAAAAGACTGCTCTTAAAATTATAAGTAAGTAAATCTGAATATTTCGAAAAAAATATTGTTTTATTGCAAAATTTGAAAATAAACAAGTTTTGAACGTAAGATGATGTATTACAATTCACACTTTACAGACGTGGAAGATTTCTAACCGATGGACTAATTTTACAAATAGATGAACCAGACGGAGAATTATTTATATTCTTCGTCTCAGTTAATATCTTTTAATTTTTGCATATTTAAATATCAAAGGAATAGAGAAATTCTTGCTTATAATGCTTTATAATGTTGATATCAATTTTGATGTCTATTAGAAAGTAGTAATTATAACTTTTTGGTGGAAAAAAAACTGATTGTTTCATTTAATGAATATTCAATGCTGCTGTGGTAGAATATTTGACAAATGTTATAAAAGGTGATCTTTTCAGCCTTTTTTCATTTTTTATATAACAATACTTGTACAGTTAAAGAAATGGTGTGTTTAAACATACCTCTTTCTCCGAAGCCTTTCATACCTTTTCTTGTTTATTAGCAGTAAAAAATTAAGCATTAATTTGTTTAAGTAATATTTAAGTAAGAATTTATTTTTAAGAAGTAAAGTTGAACACTTGCACTTATAGTTACCATTCTTTTTTGATTTTGAACTTCACGATTTTAATCAACAAATCTCTGCACGAGATGTTCAGTTAAAGCATTGATTTTTCTTACATTTAAAATTTGCCGTTGATTTCAAAATCTGATTTGTACAATATTTGAATTTTCATTCTTTCCGTTTTCATATGCATCTTTTGAAAAAATAAATATAAATTTATCTTCTCCTCTGCTTTTCAGTATTCACTTCTTCATTTCCAACAAAAAGTAATAGCTCATGAAAAAATAATGTTTAGCGCGATAGACATTTCAATTTGCCATGTTTACTTTCCATTGCACTGACAGTCAACAGTGAGTCCTCTTTTGTCAATTCAAAACGAAATGTTTTTTGTTGTTTTAGATGTTCATTAAAATTATCTAATTTACAAATTTTATCAAAGAATTAATCGAATCCTCAAATGTTTTTAAAATCGAATAGGTTGTTCACTTTATATCACATTCGCTTATTATTTTCCATTATGTAGTAGAAGAGACTTGTGCATTTAAGGAATTTCAATTTAAATTTCTTTCTTCCTAAAATGGCAGTCAAAGAGAGTGTTAATACCACTGTTGTAATTAATTATAGTTAGTTTATTATGTTATTCCTTTAACTCCATTTTTAAATTCCTCAAATTTTGCTCGTAAAACTGCATACTGGCATTGAAATTACTTAAATCAAATAATCTTAGTATTATATTATAGTCAGCAAAAGTTTAGAATTTATGGCTGCACATTTTTATGGGAAAACATTTTCAAATGAGCCTATGAAAGTTTGGATTGCTATACTTGTTAAATGTACGTTATTCAATGTGTGGAACACAAGTTACTTAAGAATCTTGGGATACGTAACAATTGGACCCAATGCTCTAAGTGAGCAGTAATATCCAAACAGGTTTAAATGTCATTTTTCTGAAAGAAAAATTCAATTTTAAGCTGACTCAGAGTTGTCACATTTTACTCACTTTCGTCTCTCAATAAATCAGTAAGTCCAACAGTTCGGCTATTTAGGCAAATTTAAATAAACATAAATGAATTGGAATAAATTGGATACATTTTTATTGCTTTTTATTACACACAATACAATGACTACTCCGAAGTAGTTTAATTTTGATGGATTAGAAATCTTGGAACAGAAAACACGAAATGTTAAGAGGAACATAGGAGACAACATTCAGATATCTGAATGGCGGCAGCTTGGTAAGTCCTGTCCTTTACAGTGGGCTATTTAAGTACATTCTAATTTTTATCCTCATATTTAAGTACATCTTACTTTGTTTAGGCTTCAGAATGTTAGGCGGAATCAATATTTTTGCTAGGATGCTCGGCGACAGAAAGGACTGAAATACAATTTTTCAGAGGATATTGAAGGGAAAACGGTTCAGTTGAAGTTTATTTTCTTCATTTCACAAAATTTATTGAATGAAAACCTAATAGACGGTGTTGTTATGTCACGAATCGTTGAAATGCAAAATCAGTCGGTGCGGAATGGGCTGCACTGAATATTTCATTCCCGCATTGGTGTTAACCGATAGTGTAGTAACGAAATCCCAAATGACTATACGTTTTGAGGACGTTCATAAATGTTCTTTAAAGAATGAAAATAAATTGATATTTTCTCCTCCCAACTGGACGCTGACTCTGACCTTTATTCATAAACTCAAAAATCTATTATAATAATTATAGGCAAGCACCAAAAAAGTTTAAATGAGAAATGCTTTTGATCCAAACGAAAATAAGCCGTAGAAATGAAAACATGCAAACTTTACTAAGATTATGGAAAAAGAGGAACAACGATAGGTGTTAAGGCACTGACCTCACTATATATATTTGAAGTAGAGAACACTGAAAAAAAAAAAAAAAAAAACAGTAATTGAAGTGACTGTTGTAATTAAGGAGGAACTAGTAATTGAAGAGGAATTATAATACAAAACCATATGCGATTTACTTATATGTTAGTTAAGATGGTATAATTCTGCTCTCACTTATTTTCAAATTATAATCCCAACCAAAGTTAGCACTCACTAGTAAATCTGGCTGCAAAACACGAAGACTACCCACATGGAGAAGTCGACTGTTGCTATCTTATGGAAGTTTTTAAACGTATGTGAATACAACTATTGGAGATATTATTTGACCTTTGCTGCTCAAAAACAAAAAATTGTAATTTCAGGATGAGACCACTGAAAGTTCCTCAAGACGCATTCAAATTCTTCGTTTAAGTATATTGAAGATATGAGATGAAATAGGGCAGCTTAAATTAGATGGAATTTATGCTATACTCCACACTACGCTTGTCTAGTCCCTCCCCATTATCATATATTTGAATTTTATTGGTTTAAATAAACACATGAGATCAAAAATGGCATGGGAAATTATAAACCACTTCGAATTCAAACTCTCTCCTCTTAGAAACAGAGCCAGTCTTTACGTTTGTATATCAGATTAGCATAACTTCACTAGATCTTGAGATACTTCACGTGTGGTATTCAAGTGATTCATTTCGGGATATATGATCATAAAACTGTGCCCTTACAGCAATATATGAAGGTAGGAAGGACACGTAGAATAAAGTGATAAAGTGAGAAACTGAAAAGGAATATGTGAGAAATTGAAAAGGAATATGTAGCAGGAGAAAAATAAGAAGGCAATGAGTAACAGCCAAGAAATCACAACATTCAAAAGTCATGTAAGTAAATAAAATGGGAAATGAAACACTGGGAAACTCGGCAAGAATATTTGAAATAATGCCCTTGAGAAAAAGCTTGATGACATGAAATAATTCAAAGTGATCGAATTGGCTCAGTTCAAATTTACTGAAAACGTACTACCCTACTATAAATCTTTAATTCAGAGCGATTCATAAGGGCTGCAATACGACAACATTCTTCATTTCCGGTGCATAACTCGGTGGTGTAAATGGATCCGACTGAGGCACCACACGTTCTTCAATGTAGCTCGGAAGATATGAGGCATTAGATCCAGCTCCCACAATCAGATACGGATGGGAAACATGTTGTGTTTGTATCTGCTGTATGTATTGAGGTGCGGGATGCTGTACATGTCGCGATTGTGGCGTCATATGAATGGTACCACTGCTGGTACCAGAGAGTGCACCGGGGTTTGCGACTGTCACTGATTCCTGAGTGGTGCTGATCGCAGTCGTTTCTGCACATCGTGCAGTGGTGGATGGAACAACAGACCCAGTTCCAGGATGATGTTGTTGTTGCTGATGATGGACGATAAGTAACTGCTGCGGTGTTCCCGACTGGGATGACACCAATCGCATTTGTTGGCTAACATAAAGAGCGGTGGCACTCGGTGGGGTAGGGCATCCTTGTCCATTCAGAACCACTTGTGCTGGCATATTCAGGATGCGTTGTTGCTGCGTCTGTCCCAGCTGTTCCAGACCTTGATGAACGCGACGTTTCATAATCTGATAATCCGTCATTCCTGACTGTTCGTATGTCCTCTTATGTGCCTGAAATACTCTAGTGATAATTCAGTGAATAATGTAGCCAAAAAAAAAGGGCAGTAAAAAACACTATTGTAGTATTAATTGTATTAACCTTACAATAAATAACAAACTATTTCAGGACGTCTCAGATGTTAATCAGCAAGGTCTCCCCTAAGATAGGATATTTTATCACTGCAGAATTAGAAGAGTATCACTTAGGACATCAGCATACCTGTCGTAATTCAGCATTTTGTGCAGCAGGTAGTTCTATGCTTGTGGCATTATTACAGCGTTTCTTGGCGCACATTGCACCAGTCATATATCGGTTATCGAAAAATCTTAAAAAGGTATTTCAAATAATCCGATCACTAAGTTTTGGATGATTTTCGAATTTTCTTGAAAAATATGGCTTAAATAACTTTCCCAATAAGATATTTAAAGATTCGTAGAAACCCAACTGCTTCCCATTTTTTTAACAAATTAAAAAAAATGTAACTGAATGGACCTTTTGTCAAGACATACAAGGCATATTTGACAATCGGGCATCCGACAGTCTTCACACTGATTACATCCAACACGAGCTTTGAACGTCGGTGCATCTCTCTGCAACAAATTAAATTGAAGTATTTCAAACTGAAAATGTGTCTGCAGCAAATTTTTTCCAAAAAAAATTGTTAGACAAAATAGATGCATTCTGCTAATATTCGAGTAGAGTGATATGAATATGAAGTTATTAATTAATGCTATTTTTGGATTTCAAAAACCATAATTCCCTTTTTTGAGTTAACTTGTGAGATTTGGGAAAACTAGTAATAATCATGCAAATAAAAGAAATACAAAACATGACTTAGAAACCTGCAATCTGTTCTCAAGTACGCGTAAGCATCTTCGTTCGATACAAGATTGCTTCTTAACACCTGGACCACCAAACTGTGGGCTGTCCTGACAATAAGTGCACTGTCCACATGGTTTACATTGACAGCCACGGCATACACCACATCTTAAATTACCTCAAAGCAGTATTTTAAAATATCTAGTGAGTAATAAGAGCTCATGATTTTAAACATTTTGAAGTTAACTGAAGAAATTTGATTTTACCGAATTTGAAAAGTTCCAGTTTAACTTTTCGATTTTGGGATGATGATGATAGCATCTTCACAAATACCAACCTTTGAGACCTATTCATTGAGGAGGTGATAATGTGCTGTCCGGATGCAGCAGCTTGCCCGTGCATTGAATGATGCGATTGTATTAAATTGGGCGGAATATGAGTACCATTTGGTATTGCGGATGATGGTGGCGGTCCAGGCTGCATGTAATGAGCACCGTGATACATCGGACCGTTTGTCTGTCTGCTCTCCATTAGCAACATAGGACCCATGGACAGCGGAACACTCATACTGATTCTATAATTTATTGGAAATATCAGCTGAGTGAGTTCAACAATGAAATGAAAGACAGAAAAATTTCCCCATCTCCAGTTAAAATGGAATGAGTATTTGAATCACTTATAAGTACTCGTGCAACTACGTAATCTCATTACTTCATCCACAGATTTCCTTACTTGATAATAATAAGAAAAAAGTGGAGAGAGACATATATGAGAAAGAACGATGAACTGTAGAAATAATACAAGAAAATTATTTGCGTCCAAAATAAAACCAGACTGTTGGTAATTTCTCACATTTTGCATGTAATCTCGAAAAGTTATACATCTTTAAAGATGCAAGGAATTAGTTGATATTACCATTATATGGCACCAGTGATATCCTCCACGGTTCAGTTTTGTCTCAAAATCTACAGTTCAAAAGAGTTATTAAAACAGGGTCAGTATGAATTCTACTCAAGTTTGACTTTTCTTACGTTAAAAGACGGTACAATTGTCAGTAAATGAAAGTGAATAATATAGATAAAAGATGAAGTATATTTCATAAAATGAAATGAAATTCCATTCAAAAACGATGCATAAGCTTCATCCGTAAGTATTAAAGTCTTTGAAATAAAAAAAAAAAAAAACCTAAATTGATAAAAGAAAGTGTTATGTTTCTTTCTTATCTCTTTCTCCTGATTATTTACTGAAAAATATCTGTCACATGAAGCAACTAATAAATAAACTGAGGTAATCAAGAAATGCAATTGTGACTAAGTCATATACTGTCAAGTTGACAGTATATGACTAACATATGTATGTATGTAGCGTAGATGTGCACATTTATATAAATATGTAGCACATCCTTCTGCTATATAACGCTAACAGTTGTTAATTCAAAATAAAGCGAAGAATTTGATTATCAATTGATAGCATAAATGACAGGTAAGGAATCATCTCGAACTTATACTAACTAATTCTGATATCAAATGGCAGCTATGAAATAAGCAGAATTTTCTTTCTCTACATTATATTTTTCCATTCATTAAAATACAGAAAGGAAAAAATAGCTGTTAATTGAATAGATGAAATGAACCATAAAAGTTATAGATACAGTCATTTTTCATTTATGCCATGATATTAGCAAAGAATTCTATGCAGGGATTAGAAATTCAAAAAATGAGGTATGAAAAAGAGATATCTGGAAGAAAGAGTATGACAAGTGTCTCGATATTTCTTGATTTATGAAGCAAATGATAGATTTTGTCTGAAACGATGATGATAGATACAGAAACAGTAACTTCAAGATAAATTTTTATTTCATAATTCTTCCTTCCTTCCTTTAATTTTAAAAATGCATAGAAAGGACACACTGTTTCCCAAAATATTAATCTAGCATTGAAGTTACAACTTTAGATACACCTTAACATTATTATTTACCTTATCATTACATCATCCGCAAATATTCTATTACAATATAATAATAGCGACTTGGAACTGCATAATCCAAATATAAAAAAACATAACTCTATATTTCAGGTGGGTAGTAAAAAACTTAGTTAACCTTACCGAGAAGCTACTGGATGCTAAGTTGAGTTGCATTTATGATAGTGATATTATTCGTATTGAGTTTTACTAGACTGGTAATTTAAGATGATTTCAATACACCTCCTTTTCAGTAAAATCACTGTTATATACAACTTAGTGTACTTCAACTATTTCAATCTTACTGAAAACAAAGTATCAAATATCGTTTTCTTCCCACACTTTTAAGTGAAAAAGTTCTTTGTTACACTGCACATTTTTTCTGATTAATTTGCGTGGCAAAAATATCGTTCCGAAAAAATGCAAAAAAAGAGTGCCGGATATTATTAACAGGAAGACAACACAGAGGCGAATATTTTTGATTGATTTCGATAATAAATCCAAAGCACTTTATAGCTGTCAGAATTTGATAGTGACTTTTTAATATTCGCCACTTGTCATCATCGCCATCTGACCCTCACTATCTACAACATATAGCCTTAGATACTCTGGAAAATCGGGCAGGCAATTGGACAAAGGAACACTCTCTACAGAACTGTCAAATTTCAATTTCTTAATGTCCTCCTTATTTTTCCTCTTCATCCATCTCATTCTTATATCCAAAGCACTTTATAGCTATTAGTTTTTTTCGGTTATTCAGAAAGGCATGTTTAAAACATGAATGAATCCAAGTCTCTAAAAAGATTAACATCTATAAGAGTATTTTGGTTAATTTGACTGCCTATAAGAATATTGCTGGACATCATTATTAATATTAACACAGGATTTTAAAATCCTATGTTAATAGTGATAGTGGGATTTCTTCGAAATTCTATAATATCATATTCTTAACAGGATTTAAGCTGATCAGA